CACTGCTAGTATGACGTTGCATTACTCCATGCAGAGGCACGTTGGAGTCGTCCGACGATAACGGATGCCTCACAAGCGGACAGGGTCGTGGTGACGGCATGGATGCTTAAAGTCAACATTGATGTCGAAAATATTACCGTAACGTTAGTACTACATGACTATGGTATTCCCTCGTCGCATAATTGTACTAATAGTACTCGTATCATCATGCAGCCTGCATTTGATTGTCAATAGTGTTTCGCGATGAACACGGATTTGTGATTGAATTATCCAATCATTGTACAGGTGTGTTTTCATTGGTTAAATATGAAATCGTAGGCAATCTCCCTACGAATTCCATAAATAAGTCATTGGTTTTCAAACGAGTAATTCCCTGATAGCATCAGTTCCACTGTTGCCGACGTTATCATTTTCCTTCAAGAGTCTTGTTCCAGTAACCCACGACCCGTTGCGCTTAAATACAATGCTATTCACGGGGTTCATTTGCATTACCAGTGCTTTGCCATCGCTATGCACTTAACCCTTAGATGAGGTGCGTTGAATTGCGTTTTCGCGGCATTGACTGTGGAGTCAACGATATAAAACTAACGACCGTACTAGTAGGACTAACGTTAGTAGCGCACAGCGCTGTATACCTACCAACACCGTTCCAATGTTACTAATTGGACTTGCTGTAAGCTTAAATCCTAGCGGATTAACGTTACCGTACAGCATTCTAATCAATCGCCCTGCATGATACTGGTATGTACTACAGCAGTAAGTTACTGTTAACGTTAGTACCGGTTGACGAGGTCTGAACTTGAGGGCAGCTAATGTTAACGATAGCTTACTGTTAGAATTATCGCCCCCTGAACAACCAATATTGCTACTGTACAGATGTCGCCTTGGCCTAATACTTTATACAGGAACAGTTGCCACGAACGAGTAATTCCCTAAGAGCAACAGTTTCCAATGGTGCTTATTTACTGTTAGTGATCTCCCTTCTTTATTGATCTCCAAGGGTCCAAGAGCACTGTAACCTCAGCGAACTGTATCACTAGAGGTCACCTACCGGTACCTGTATTGTTCACCACAGAAATACTGATTTCCCTCGCTCTTTGAAACGGGTCAAATTGAATAATTTTTGTAAACTTATAAATATCGAAACTGGAGGTGAATTCGAAAATTCAAAGCTCACATGCATGTTGGAGCAAGTTTTGGGTTAGCATTTCAAAACATGAAGTGCGCATGACCTTGGCCGAAAAGCACGAGCTTTATGCTCATCACATGCAACATCCAGTTGCTACGTACACTGAGCTGGCGGCCTGGGCTGCTCAAAAGTTTGCCCTTGTACCCACACCATCAAAGGCAACAATTGGACGTGCTATTAAACAACACTACACTAAGCTACCGTTCCGATGCCAAGGACCGTAAAAACGACCGAGTCGTTGCTCTGCCGGCCGTCGAGCAACACCTTCTCGAGTGGGTCTTGCGGTGCGAAGACCTTGACTGCTGGAACCGTACTGGCATTCTCGACACTGACCTGTCGTCGTTTAGCGAGCACGTGTCAGCCATGCAATTGAATAGCCAGGATGCTCCATAAACTAATATTGTTTTCACTTTATATTTTGGTACTCTCCAAAACTTGTTCATAATCAGGCGTTTCAAAGAGCGAGGGAAATCAATACACTGTAACCCCTCTGTGTGGGTGGGTTCGGGCTCACACTATAATTAATTATAGAATAGTAAAAACAAGTTAAGTGATTATGTAATCATGAAACTGTTACTCTCAACATATGAACCAATGAAATTAGCATTGCCACGCGATACCAGAGTCAACGGGGGGTGGATGAGGTATTGCATCAATTTCTTGGACGTTTTTTGTGCCAGATCATGCCAAATGGTTTGGATTGTCTATCACAGAAACTCCGCCAATTAAAAAATTGTAAGGGCATCCATCCATCCAGGGGACTACAGTATAATTCCAGCACCAGCACTGTCTTAGTACACGTGCAGGCGGCTCCTGAGTTCCTGACCTAGGTGCTGATTCGAGCGTGATTGGCCGGCTCCCATGCTCTCTGAGAATGATCTGATTTGGAATGGTCCAAAGTCAGATCGCTCAACTCAGAAAGTCTGATGACATGTCTCGTAGTATGCAACTTGGAATGAAGATAGAGCCCACGCTGGCTGGCTGCCCCACCACACACGCCAAACCCAACAACACGCCGCCCTTGTCCCCCTTTTGCACTCATTGTTGAAATTCCTTCATGAAGACCATTACCATTCTCGCGCTCGCCTCGTCGGCTGCCGCCTTTGCAGCGGGGGATGTCGACCTGAACGACACCACCGCCGGTTTGTTGCGAGGCCCCGACAGCAAACTCCGCACCAACGCTCAAATCCAAGCCATCCAAGACGACGCGGACGTGAACCGCAAGTGCCACACCACCAACGGCGGGTACATCCCGACGTTGAAAGCTGGGACGTACACGGCCAGCAAATTCCACAATTGTTTCCGCACGTCGGCGCAAATCTTTGAGTACGTGGATGCGTTGGTGGCGCAGAACCCAACTTTGCTGACAAGGGAAGCAATTGCAAGCACAGTCCGAGGCAAGACTATCTACGCGTACAAACTGACCAGCGGCGCGTCCAAGCCCCAGTCGTTGTACTACCAAAGCCTGCTCCACGCCCGGGAATGGATCGCGGGGTCGTCCAACTTGTTTACGCTGTCTTCGATTCTGGACGACATTGCCAACAAGAAACCCACGGCCGCGGACACGTTCAACCTGTACTTTGTACCGATCGCCAACATTGATGGGTACGACATCTCGTGGAATGGCAACCGATACCAACGCAAGAATGCCAATCAAGTCGACTTGAACCGCAACTGGCCGTCGTTCTACAAAAACCCCAACCCCCCCTCCCCCTCGGCCGAAGACTACCCTGGCACGAGTCCGTTCAGCGAACCAGAAACTAAGGGGATTGGGGCGTGGCTGAAGGCCAAGAACTCTGAACTCGCCGGCTGGGTGGACGTGCATTCCGTCGCGGGGTTGATCTTGTACCCTTATGGCGACACGACGCAACCCATCGGCAACGGCCAAGACGAAAAGTTTCAACGGCTCGGCCGCAATGTTGCCGCTGCGGCGGGTCGTAACTACAAGGGACAGACGTCGGCAGCTTTGTACCCTGCGTACGGTTGCTTTGACGACTACCACTACCGCACGTACAAGAAGCCCATATTGACCATCGAAGTGGCTGGCTCGGACTTTGTCGCCCCCGCGTCGACCATCCGTACCCGCGGCACGGAAATCTTCAAAGCGTTGACTCAATTTGTGAAGGAAGTAGTGGTTTTCAATGGATCCCCCAGATTGCGTGGGGAAGAAAATGCCGTGGCCATTCCATACTTGGTCAACCAACAAGAGTCTGACGTGGTGGAACGAGATGCCGACGAGTCGTCGGTGGTGTCCGATGTGATTGTCGACTAGATGCGTGTGTATGTACTAGTACTTCCTGGGTGTGAAGGTGCGTCAAGCATAAACGAACAATATATATAAAGTGGTTTCGACGTGACATTGTTTCAACGTACTGTATGCCCCTCGACCAGTGATGTGACGATTTATTTCATCCAACTAAATCGTTTGAGCTATATTATTGGACAAAAGAAATCTCTCATGCCAATAAGCTTGTAAAAGTTTATGATGGGAAAAGTATTCGAAATTCGATAGATATACGGAGTAGCAGCCAACCAAAATGTACGACGAACTCGACCTCTTCGCTTGCAATCTTGCGCCCTTCCTTGCTCACATGCGGCTTGAAGTTGTCCAACAAGAGTGCAGACGGATCACGCACCTGGGGTCTCAGCACCTTGCGAAGGTAAATGGCCCAGACGCGCGAGTTCATCCAGGCACATTTTTGTACTGCATAGTAATGTCCAATTGGGTAGGAATCGAACTCGTCTTGCTCAATGAGGCCACCAGGGATGCCACGCAGGATGAAGAGGATAGGAAGTTTCTCCCCGTTGGCACGAACTGCAAGCACTGCCGTCATCCGGTACGAGTTCTTATCACCACTTGAAATCTTCGCTCTGCCGCCTTTGACTGCCCAAATCGCGTTAGGAGGCATGTCATAAGTCATACCAGTCTGATCGACGTTGAAGATGGCATCAGGTGTGTATCCGATGAATGCCTTGTTGAAGACTTGAGCAAACGCTGTTCGTGTAGCGCTGAGCTCTTCCTGCGACTTCTTGGCCTTGGAAGGTTTCTGTCGGGTAAAGTCGTTCTTGGCGCAGAACCTTTGGAGGAGCTTGAGCAAAGCCTGGTAGCCGCAGTTCTTGTTGGCCAGGTATTCGTCAAGCCAAGGACGCTCATGACGCTTCAGGAAGTTGACGAGGTGCGTGCATGTGACGGCCCGCTCAGGATCTCGAAGCATGTGCATGTAGGTCTCGAGTGCTGTCGTGTTGGGGATCTCGGTAGGCCTGCCCGCGCCATCAAGGTTGTAGCGTCGCTGTGGTCCGTTGAACTGAAGGAGCTCAGCTATCTGGTTCTTCCATCGGGAGAGGTTGCTCTTCGGTATCCCAGTGGCTGCCTCGAGGTCGCGTGTTGACGCGCTTTGCATCTTGACTACCATGTCGCGCTTGACAGCCTGGGTGGTGTAGCGTCTTCTTGGCTTCTTCTGGGGGCTAATCTTGTTGTGCTGCGTCCGGGGCATTTTCAAATGAGTGGCCACCTTGCCATGGTAGTCAATTGCCCGCGAATTTAAAATGTTTTTGCGCGGCATAATGTTATTAACCAATCATGTGATCGCATTTTCATTAATCGATTATGATTGGTAGTAATAATTTGTGATGGAAAATAACTTCGGTGTCCCTTAAAAATCGTCGTTGACTGTAGTCCTATCCAAAGCCCATCCAGTAGAGTGATTATCCACACGAATTTTCCAATAAAATTTCCCTGAAAATCCTTCGGGGAATACCGGTAAGCAGAACTATCGCTTTGTTTGTTCTTGCACCTCTTCTGGAGCACCTACAGTACCAGTAGTGTACACCACCCAATGTTTACGCATATCAACAACCCTGTGTAGTAGGCGTAATGCGTGCTGTTTGCACCATCCCCATAGGCTGTAGTGTGCATCGTGCCGACGTACAAACATGGCCGCTTTGACGAGGCTGATGAACAAAGGGATAGGATGAGTGAAGAGGGCAGTAGGCAGGAGTAGACACGTGGGACGCAGAAGGAAAAACTGGAAGTGAATTCCTTCTGACCAATCAAAACTGACTATGATTGGCCGCAACATCCAATTATGTTTCGTCATACCAAATGTCTGCGCTGACTTCTACCCGAGGAAAAGCCTATAAAATGCACAAAAACTTCCTACACAGCTAGCAGACGCTGCTACCTGACTGACATGGCAGTGGGGATGATCTCTATCAGAACAGGGTGTTCTGACTGCCTCCCAACAGCGCCACGCACTGTCAACCGGAATCAGGTGCCCAGAGTGCAGCAAGAGGCTGGCGGTTAAGCTCAGTGAGCGTAACCATCACTGGTTACACCGTCTTTTGTCTGGAACTCAACTCGTCGGACATCCCTTTCAGCGTGTCCCTACTAATTCTTTTCCGAACGACGCGCCGTGGAAAGGCCGGATGGATCGAGTAACCACTGGGATGCCGTCATCCCCCGATGTCGAAATAACATGGCCCAGGGTGTCCCCCTTACATGTCTGCGCAGTCACGGGCCGAGAGGCCGGGGTTTGTGCTCCCTGACTTGCGCTGGAGAGTGCTGACGGGCAGCAGTTGCCTCACCCTTAGTTGACTGCGCAAAACGCAGTACGTTATCACATCAAGTGGTTTGGTAAAGATATCCGTGACTTGATGTCGCGTATCGGTGTAAACAAGACTAAACGTTTGTTATTTCACAAGGTCTTTGATGAAATGGTAGCGTACATCAATATGTTTGGTACGCCCATGGTGGCCAGAGTTGTTCACGATCTGGATGGTGCTCTGATTGTCCTCGTGAAGAGGAATCGATGTGGTGATGGCGTGTCCCATCTCACCAACTGTCTGCTTTATATACAGGCATTCTTGTGCAAGTGTGCACGGAATCATGAGTTCTGCCTCGGTTGTCGAGAGGACGATGCTCCGCAGCCTCTTAGTGATCCAAGAGATCGCAGAGTTCCGGTAGAATGTCACGAAGCCCGCGACGCAGCGTCGGGTATCAACACAGTTGGCGTAGTCACTGCCCGCATACGCATGAAGCGGAGCGGATTGATCGTACGCACCGCCGAGGACGATACCATAGTCGATCGTTCCTCTGATCTCCCCAAGGGCGCGCTTGGCTGCCTGCCAGCGGGCAGGGCCGGGGTTCGTGAGGAACTGGCTTAGGTTTTGGACGACGTACGCGAGGTCGGGTCGAGTACTAATCATGAGATACATGATGCTGCCGACTACCGATCGGTACGGCCTATCCACCATGGACTGGCGTTCAGCATCGTTCTGAGGACATATCGACTCAGACAGCTCGAGATTGCACTCCATTGGAGCGGGTACTGGTTTTGAATTCTTCATGCTGAATCTCTTGAGAATCGAGGTTGCACATTGGGATTGGTGCATTGTGAGAGTTCGAGCATAACGATCTCGAACAATGTGGAATCCGAGAATAAAGGTGAGAGCCCCAAGGTCATGCATTCAAAAACGCGATGACAGACCATGTTTGATGGTGCGCATCATGTCCGGTGAAGGAGCCATGATGACCAGGTCGTTAACGTAGACACCGATGTAAATGGCTTGGCCGTCCATCTGCTTGGTGACGACACAGCGGTCTTTGAAGAGCCGTGTGTACCCTTGCCCGTTCAAGCAGGTACTGTAGCTATTGTCTGGTACCATAAGCGTATATGCGTGGGGCTTGCTTGAGACCATAAACACTGCAGAGGACTCGGAAGATATCGCGGCGATTCTTCGCGGTGTCAAATCCAGGAGGAGGTGTGACGTAGACCTCGCAGTCGATTTCTCCGTTGAGAAATGCTGTGATGACATCCATTGCGCTAACCTCGTAGTCGAGAGACACACCGAGAGTAAGCATCGGCCGGAGAATTTCTTTGGCAATGAACGGTGAGTAACTCTCCTCGTACTGAACACCTTGAATTTGGGTGTGTACTTGGATCACAAGTCGCGCTTTGTAGCCAGCGACGCGTCTCGCAGCCTCAGTGGCCAAGTCGTTGTATTTGATTTTGAACACCCAACGCATGCCGAATGGTGTCGCATCTGAAGGCAAGGTGGCTGGTTCAAACGACCCGTTTGCCTCATGGGCTGCCAGCTCGAGCATCTGGCTTCAAGCCATTGCGCTTTGGCTGGCGATTTCATCGCCTGTTTGTAGGTCGTAGGCTCCTCTGAAGGAGTCGTGTCCTTGAGGGCGAGGAGGATGTGTTTTGGTGTCGAGAGAGATTGAACGCCTGAGGCGTCCTCAAAATACGACATAAGCAACTGAGCTGGACCATCGCGTCGACGTGTCCGCCGTGTCCATTGTGGTAGACGTCGATGAGACGACGTACGGCATGTGCTTTGCCGCTGCTCGAGACCGTGAGGGCCGAGGCGGAATTGCGAGCTACTGGGTTGTCATATGTGACGACGTTGGAGTGGAGGTGGATGTCGTACTCACACATGCCGGAGTACGGCATGCTGTACTTCTCGTGGAACGAGGTACATGGTATGGGGAAATATTCCTCCGTTGTGTTGAAGGTCAACGTTCGACGACGCTTGGGCGTCGGAGTTGTGGACGACTGATGTAAGGGGTGGCGACTGATGCCCACCGAACGGGCAGGTGGAGTGATATCTGGTACGTCATGTATGATAGGGACTTGCCACACTGTACCTCTTGACCCACGAAGTAAAGCCTTCCCCAAGTGCGGGTAGAGGTGTGGTCGTATCAGCCACCCAAGTGGGGGCGGCGCTGATGTCACGGCCTCACCATATGAGGATAGTGGTGTCGTCCATGAAAAAACCTTCCTTCCCAAACGAGGGTGGAGGTGTTGGTGTCGTGGATGACGCAGCCTCCCCAAGGGGTGAAGGCAGGCCTGGTTGGAGGACTCGTGGGCTTTGGTCCACGGTGAAACAGTTCCGCTGTGGATGTTCACTTCGAAGACGTTTCACGTAATCGACTGGATTCAGGAGGGGAAACTGATGTTCAACGAACGTCACATCGCGGCTTGTAAGCACGTAATGTATGTCGAGGTTCAGTAGCTCAAGATGTCTCGGGTAAGCAAATATACATGCACAGCATGCCTCGAGGAGACAGCTTGTTCACACACATGGGTATGTTGACGTGTTCGTACGCTACACTTCCAAATACGCGTAAACGTGCGTAGTCTGGATGGCTCTGGTGCCATAGACGACACGGAGTGTCCCCACTGATGGTGGTGGACGGCTGTATGTTCACGAGGAACACTGCGTGGGATATGGCTTCGCCCCACAAGAACTGTTGTAAATTACCATGCAGTAGCATGGATCGAGCTATGGTGACGATGATGCCCGTACGCTGCTCGACCACAGGGCTCTGGGACGGGGTATAGGCAGGCATTCGTG